AAAGGATTTTCTGGAAGAGGTAGCATTTTTAGATGTGTTAGTATTTTTTTGTTGAGGACAAACTGCTTTTATAGACATGTCAACGAGTTCTACAAAATTATTATAATCGGAAATGGGATCGTCAGTGTTTAATGTGTTCAAATTAGTCTCTATGGATGTACGCAGTATAGTGGAGAAGAGGGGCCAATTTATTTTTCTTAAATTATATTTGTGTGAGGAAAATGATGCAATTGGTATTGTAATACCTAATGAAGAGAGAATTGGAAAGTGATCACTACCTAACGGATCATCGAGGACATTCCAGGATGAGCATGTGAAAAGGTTCGAGGTGACGAAAGTAAGATCCAATGCAGAACCGGGATTGGGTGGACGACCTATTAAAGTAGGTGACCCATCATTTAGAAGGATGAGATCTGTTTCATCCAATTCTTCGCATAAGTTACGCGCGTTGGGACATACATAAGAGCCTCCCCAAAGGGTACTATGACAGTTAAAGTCACCTCCAAGGAATACGGATTTGAAACCAGAATTTTTGATTGAATTGAATAAACGTTTCCAAAAATTAGGGGGGGTTTGTTTACCAGGTACTCTGTAAACAGAAACTATTAGTAATTCACCCATGGAAGAGTCAATTGAAACAGCAAGTGATTCAAGTTCGTCTTCCTGGGTGAAAATTGTTGTAATTTTTGAGAATACTAAATTTTTACGAATGGCGATGATAAGACCGCCACCCTTGTTTATCAGTCTATCATTTCTAATAATATTAAATTGATTTAAAATTTTAAGGTTGTCGGTTTTATTAGGTTTTAAGAAGGTTTCGGAAAGAAGGAGGACGTCGAATTTATTTGAAAGTTTTTGAATTTCAGGTGTCTTTTTAGAGACACCTCGACAATTCCTCTGTAAAATGTTTAATTTAGATACCTTGTCCATTTTTGTTATTATTATTAATGCTAACGGAGTTAAATAAGGAGTGAATATTCTCTGTAATTATTTTGAGTAAACCTTGGTTGTGTTTAACCGTTTCCGGGGAAGAATTGGATGAATGTTGTGAAACATGATCATTGATCATAGAGATGAGGATTGAAGAGAGGGATTCAAAATTGGTAGTTGGGTCAGTTGTGTTCGAGGTCAAAGGATTGGACCACTGTTGTAAACGAGATAAAGCAGAGCCATTAGGAAGGCCACTATTGTCTCTACCATTGTTCCAGTGAGTAGCGTAAAAGGAATTGGTTCTTTTACGTGATTGAGAAGTGTTTATTTGTTGATTGTGAGGTGTCGTTTTGAAGTTTCTTTGTTTTTCAGAAGGAGTGTTTGTTATGTCTGAAAAGAGACGTTGAGATGAGTTTTGAGCTGTAGAAGAGGGAGCTGGAGTTTCACCAAATTGTGGAAAGTTCGAGAAATTGAAAGAGCTGGAGGCTGTAACCGTATTCTTAGGACGGAGGATAGCTTTTGCTTCTACGAATGAGAGTTTGTGTAATGTGGCGTAGGTGCGGATTTCTTTTTGAAGGGTAAATTCTGGGCAATCTTTAGAGGTAACCAGATGGGGACCAGAACAGTTTACACATTTCGGTGTGTTTGATGTGTTTGAACAGGGGTTAGCTGAGTCGTGAGTAGTGTTTTCACCACATGATTTGCAACGCGGTTTAGAGCGACAGTGTTTGGCGATATGGCCAAATCTAATGCATTTCATGCACATTCGTGGATTCGGGAAGTATGGGCGAACTGGGCTTGACCCTTTGTAAACTGCTACTCTCTGAGGGAGTACAGTTCCCTGAAAAGTCAGTAAAACGGTTCTAGATGGAACGTATTTGTATTCGTTTGTTTTTTCGTCCAAGATTTTTCGATTAAAGCGTCGTGCTTCCAGTATTTTTATTTTATTGACATGTGGTCCCATGACCTCACCATGTTCAATTATTTCTTCAATTGAAATATCAGAGTCGACGTTGTTCATAATTCCTTGGCAGGAAACGAAACTTGCGGGAATAATACCGATTAAACCTTTGGATGATAATTGAGGGTGGTTGAGAAGCTGATTTGCAACTTGACCCGATTTGACGGTTACTCTTACTTTGCCTCGACCGCTTTGGGTAATTTCTACAATTTTACCTGGGAACATTGGGTGAAGGACACGACCGACAGACATTGATCCAAGGTCTTTTTTGAAATCAACCGATTTGGGATCTCGTTGAATGAAGATCACACAATTGCTTTTCAAAGAATTTTCATAAAAGAGAGAGATATTAGATTTAATGGTGTTAGTCTGGTTTGGTGGAACTGAATTGTCCGACGTTATTTGGTTGTTGTGTTGAGATGATGGATGTGTGTCTTTAAATGCATCAAAATGTGCTGTTTGAGTTGTGTTTTGAATGTGAGAATTATTGTCACAATGTTTTTTCGAGGTGCGATTCGATAAATCGTCTTGACTTGTGTTTATTCCCTTCAGAATTATTAAGTTGTTCGCAGCGTTTTCTATTTCCATTTGAGATTGTGGGGAAAAGGGTTCGTGAAATTCATTTCCAGGGTCATCACTCATGTTTGAAGAACCGGAGGTAAAACCTCCGGTTAATATACTTTTATGCCAAGACAGATCCTACAAAAAAAAATTATTAATAATAAAATAAAAAAAAAACTACTCAAATTCCAAGATGGCCACGCCGGCCGGCGGTTGAGGTGGTACGGAGTATCGCAACGTTGGAGTGGTCGCGTTCAACACAAAAAAAAAAAATCCGAAAGTCTTCTTCACACTACACTGGAATTGACCAACAATTGACAGGCAGCAAAAACTCGGTTCACAAAGGTCGATAGAATGCGTAAATAGCGTGAACTTTCACTACCCAACAGTTTCGTGTTCGAATTTTGGTACTGCTCATGCGCAGTAGTATTATTTAATAATATTATGTACACATATTAAAAATGATTCAAAGTTTCGAATTGTAATCAATTATAGAGTTTCATTCATAATAATAATAATAATTCTAATAATAATAATAATAATAATAATAATAATAATAATAATAATAATAATGAGAATAATAATAATAACAATAGTAATAATAATAATAATAATAATAATAATAATAAGAATAAGAATAATAATAATAATAATAAGAATGATGCAGTCAATAAATATTTCTTATATCATAAGTAATTTAATTGGTTCAAAAAAATGACACTGGAAAGTCACTAGAAATAAACGACGGCAACACTGTACAACCTATTCGTCTACGAACGATCGTCGAACAAAGTTTCGAATGGTGCTCGAGAATACGGTTGTTGCTTCGTGCACGAAACTTACCCATCGAATTTGCTCGCATACGAACAATATTCGAATGATTTCGAGAATAGGACCCCTGAGCTTTTCTCGAAATCTACCGAACCGATTTTGACATCCCAAAAATTTTTCGATTCTTTATTTAAAAAACTGGTGCCTAAACCTCAAAGAACTCATATTTCTACCCTCTGTGTTTTTATATGGAGGTAAATTGACCCAAAAACACGGCGTTTTTGCGAGTTTTTGAGAAAAATGTACATAAAAAATAAAAAAACCTTTAAAAAAAATCGTTTTTGAGGTTTAGGCACAAGAATAAATCCTTATTTATCCGTTTGGAACTTGAATTTATGTATTACAGGTTGCCCGGAATCTAACGTACCAAAAAAAAGGTATCTTTTGGAAGACGCCACCTACAGCTATGAAATTGAACTAAATACACTCAAACATATTTTTTAAATTTTCTCTACGCAATGTGCTACAATGTCCAAAAATAGTTTTTACAATTTCTTTAATACTGTTCTTACAATAAAAGTTTTAAAACCTTCCTTTTTTGTAAATTCTAAACCAGAAAGTCCCCTTAAATAAATTATTTAAAATATTATGCCAAATAGAAAATAATTGAAAATCATAAAATATGAAGGGTAATTAATTATTTTTCTTAATAAAATGACACAAAAATTATGATTTGATTTATTTGCAATAAAAAAAGATTTTTTATTTAAAAATATACATAAAAAATTATTTAACCATAATAAAAAATTTAATTGAATAATAAAATTAAATCTCTTTTTGTTATTAGATTATTAATAATTGTTTAATATAATTTAAATATAAAAACAAATGTTTGAGAAGTTTAATAAAATATTATCAATAAAACAAATTTAAAACAGTGTCTTTGAGTTATATAATTGAACAGAAAGAATATTTGTTAAAGGAAAGTATAAAAAAAAGAAAAAAATTTAAAAATTACCGTTCACTTGCTTATTTTCAGCAATCTCTATTTCTCTTTTTGAAGCTTTTTCCGAAGACGTACTAGGGGTAGAATCGCTCGTTTCTTGAAGAATAGTAATATGAGATTTGTAAAAGGTTACTGTATATCGTAATTTTTATAATGTAGACAGACGTTATTAATTAAATTAAATTACGTTATTAATTAAATGATCAATCAAAATTATTTAAAATTAATTTACCGTCGCATTTGTTACTGTGAGAAATATCTAGTTTGGGTCGTTTAGCTGGTGGCAATGGCAGCTTAATTTTCGTCTCTAATTTTTTATTATCAATTATTTTTGGCTTTTCTTTATTTTTCGAAGTAATTTCTCCGTTTAAAGCTTTTGTGGAAGATATACCAGGGATAGAATTTCTCTCTTGAAGGATGATTGTAAAATATTATAAATGCTTTAATTTATTTGTCATTAATTTTATTTATTTATTAAATTTTTTAAATTATTATGTTTTTATTTTATTTATTTATTATTTAATTATTTATGTATATTTTTAATTAAAAAATCTTTTTTTATTAAAAATAAATAAATATTTTAAATAATTTTTTAACAAAGTTGATTTTATTAGCTTATTTTTCATATCTCTCGCTTTTTTTACAGAATAAATTTATGATTTATTTATTTATATTATTTTAATATTTATTTTATTTATATATTATTTATTTATTTAATAAATCGACAATCGGAATTTTTAAATTAATTTAAATTAGTTACCGTGAGGAATATCTGGTTTAGATCGTTTAGCTGGTGTCAATGGGAGATTAATTTTTGTCTCCAGACTTTTGTTCAGATTGTTGTCTGTTTTTCTGCATTTTTTCAGATATTCTAGCGATTGTATCTTAAAGAATAAAATCTGTGTTTTATTATTTCATTTTTACTGTTTATTATTATCTAATTATTATTTTAAGTTGTTTATTATCAAATTATTAATTTCAATAAAATTATAAATTATTTTTGAATTAACCTTTTGCATTGACATTTAAGGAGGTGGAGATTTCTTAACCCGTTCATGTCTTGATTGTTTCAATTTCTCTGAATAATTGTCTGTCACATCGCTGTCAATTTCGGACATAACAAGCGCCTCCAAAAGTTTTTCTTTTCCTTTTGCCAAAGTGGCTAAAATGAAAGTTTTTTAATAATGACAAGAAAACAAATTCTCATTAGCAACTAAATTTATTTTTATTATTTATTTGTTTTTTACGTATTTTAATATAATAATTATACGTTTATTTTTTTATTGATTTCTTTACTGATGAGGCAAGAATTAAATTTATTTAATAGTTTATTTAAAAATCTGATAAGAAGAATTATAATTTTATACTTCATTATTAGACAACAAAAAAGATGATTAAATATTTATTTAACATTACAGAATTATAATTAATAATTATTTGTTATACGTGAAAACATTTCTGGAAATCTTTCATATAGACAATTAATAAAGAATAATTTTTTTATTTCATTTTTAAATTGATATGAATTTTAATAGTAGACTTACTTGTCTGTTTCAAACATTTTACAACCATATATTGTTTCCATGGTATTTGCGGTTCCGATAATTTGGCGATCATCTCATTAAGTTTTGCAGCATCTTTCTTAGCTGGATAATAACAAAAAGATGTATTGTCATCCTGTGGCTTTACAATCCATTTGGTTGGAACTAAAACTACACCATCTTCAAGTTCGACAACGGAATACGTCAAGTTTTCTGTAGAGTCGTCTGAAGCGTAAATTTTATTTTTTTATTAAGAATATCTAGATCAAGAACAATAATTAAAATAGTTGATTTTGTTTTCTTATTTATATTTTTCTATAATTTTACCTAAAATTTTCTCCATTGCGAAAAAATCGTTTACGTTTGACATTCTGTCAATTAATACAATAAAGTGAATATTTCCGCAATTTTTAAACAACCACAAGTTGTTTACTGGTAACGAAGGCAAATTCATTTATTTATATCTTGTTCAAATGTGACAGTTATTTTTGTGGCGTTATCTAGTGTTGGAATTTTCAATTTTCAAACACACTTAATATAATGCAATTCGAAAATATACATACCTGCATTTAAGTAAGAAAAAAGAAATCAAGTGTTAAAATTTTTAAACACATAATTTACGATGCAACTTAAAAGTTTACGTGAATTTTATCAATGTTTGTAAACGACTCAAAAGCAACATGCGAAGATGTTATGATTTTTGAAAATTGGCAAATTCAAGTTAATATTTCAGGATTAATTTGTGATACTCCAGCTAAAAGTTTGGCATTAAAGGTTAATAATAAATATTAATAATAATATAATTAATAATAAATAATGTTAATGGTTAATAATAAATATTATAATTATAAAATTATTATGAATTAAATGAAATGAAATTAATAATAATATAATTAAGAATAAATAATGTTAATAGTTAATAATAAATATTATAATTATAAAATTATTATGAATTAAATGAAATTAAATTAATAATCATAAAAATAATAATAAAAAAATAATAATAAAAATGTTATTTATGGATGGAATAAATCAACTTTGACTTTGACTTTTATCATTTATTTATATAGAACAGTTTATTAAAAGAGAAAACGTGTACAAAAAATACAGTGCACTTGACGCCATTTTTAAATGATCAAGAACAAGGAATATCAAGATTAGGTTAGATCATTTACACGCCATAGTTGATATAAAAGAAGTTGTATGAACGCACTTTAACATTCCTCCTCGATTTGAAGTTTATTAATAAAAAAAAGAAAAATTGTAATTAGAATACAACTTTAAAAGTTTACAATGAAATCGTAGATTTTGTTTAATCAATATGAGCTTTATTTCTCAGATAAACAAAAACATTTTTACCCAATGACTTGGTAAGAATATCCGCAAGATTTTGATCAGTTGAAACATATTCAATTGTTATTTCCTTTCGTGATACTAGATCTCTCAAGTAATGATTTTTTATATCGATATGTTTAGCTCGTTTTGAATTTTCATTACTTTTTGACATTAAAATTGAGCTCTTATTATCACAATAAAGTATTACATTTTTGCATAGTTTAAAATCAGTTAGAATACCTTTAAGATTAACTAACTCCTGAGCACAAGCAGCTGCTGCCACATATTCGCCTCGGCACTAGAGAGAGCTACACATGTTTGCTTCTTTGAAAACCATGCAATTGGATTTTGACCATGTAGAATTATGCATCCACTGATACTTTTTCTATCTTTTATGTCAGTCCCCCAATCGGCATCAGAATATCCATTTAGATTTTCGCTGGTATTGGAATTAGTTTTAACATACGTTAATCCAATTTCTTTAGTTCCTTGCAAGTATCGCAAAATTCGTTTACTTGCTTTCCAAGCCTTGATTGTCGGATTATCAAGATATCTGCTCAAGTATGAAACGGAGAATGCGATGTCCGGTCTTGACGTTGTTGATAAATACATTAACCCTCCAATTAATTGTCTATATGGAACGTCAATCACTTCATTTTTTTCAGCAATTTTGAATCCTTTTTCCATTGGTGTGTACTTACTTTTACAGGATTCCATTTCAAAATTTTTTAACAACTTCTCTATAAATTGAGTTTGGACAATTTTTACACTATTTTCATCTCTGATTATCTTCATTCCTAAGAAACTTTGGATTCCATCTAAATCTTTTGCTTTAAAATGTTCTTTTAATAAATTTATCGTGTTTTTAACTTCATTTTGATTTCCTGTTACCAACATGTCATCTACATAAATCAAAATCCATACGTCTTTACCGCAATATAAGCAACAGTCATATTTCGATCTCTCAAAACCGTGTTTTAAAGCAAAATCATTAAACGTATCATTCCATACTTTCGGTGATTCCTTGAGTCCATATAATGCTCGATTCAATTTGAAGATAGATGATTTAGACTGTAAACCCTCTGGTTTGTGGATATAAATTTCACTTTCCAAATGTCCATTTAAGAAGGCTGTAGGAACATCTAACTGCTTTATATTCCAATCCATTTTCAGTGATATTGATATTAACAGTCTTATTGTTGATATTCTCGCTACTGGTGCATACACTGGTTCGAATGGATTCTCTTTTTTCAACTGAAACCCTTTTGTTACTATTCTAGCCTTCTTTGTGCCATCTTCTTTTGTTCTAAAGACCCATTTTGTCTGAATTAGTTTCTTCCCTGCTGGTGGAAATACTTCACTCCACGTTTGAAGTTCTTCATGCGCTTGCAATTCTTTTTTAATTGCATCATTCCATTGTTCACTCTTCATTGCGTCTTCATACGTGACTGGATCATTAGGTGCTGTTAACAAACAATAAACAGAATAAATTTCATAATCATTCAAGTGTTTTGGTGCAACTATTTTTCTACCTCGTCTCGTTACTTTATTTTCTGTACGGTCATTTTCTGGATTAGAAGAGTCAGAATCTTGTTCATTTGTTTCACTTTAGTCGTGGTCAACTTCTTCTAAATTTTGTTCTTGATTGTTTATTTCTATCTTTTCTCCTCTATTATTTATTATAATTTCTTTGTCATTTTTCGTTATTATGTTGTTGTAATTGGTTTGATTTTCATCGAATCTTACGTCTCTTGAACAAAAGATTTCTTCCTTCTCATAGTCCCATAGTCTGTATCCCAATCCACTATATCCAATCATAACACATGGTTTTGCTCGTTTTTCCAACTTACTTTGTTTTGGTAATACTGTCGCCCAGGCCTGGCTTCCAAAAACTCTCAGTTTTGATAAATCGTTTTTCTTGTACCATCTTGTAGCTGGCGTTTCTCCTCTGTTTGCTTCAGTAGGTGACCGGTTAAGTTCGTAGGCTGCACATTGAATAGCTTCACCCCAAAGTATTTTCGGTAAATTTTGTTCTAACTTTGCCTAACAGTGTCCTGTTCATTCTCTCTGAAGTGCCATTTTCTTGAGGCTTATGTGGCATCGTATATTCTATGGTGATACCTTTGTGCCTACAAAGTTCTTTAAAATGATTTGATACAAATTCTCCCCCGTTATCACATCTAATCTTTTGCGTTTTTTCACCCTGTTGTGTTTTAATTAATTTAATAAAATCAATTAAGTTTTGTTCACTTTCATTTTTACACTTTAATAGTTTAACAATTAAAAAATGAGAATAATCATCAATCAATACTTGAAAGTATCTGTATCCTTCTTTTGTAGGAGTTTTCCCTATTGAAAAAAAACACGTATAATTGTACGTATAATAATACGTATAATTATACGTATTATTATACGTATAATTATACGCATAATTATACGCATAATTATACGTATTATTATACGTATAATTATATGTATTATTATACGTACAATTATACGTATAATAAGACATACGAATTTGAAACAAGAATTATACGTATAATTATACGTATAATAATACGTATAATTAATTATACGTATAATAATACGTATAATAATACGTATAATTATACGTATTATTATACGTATAATTATAATTCTATTAAAACTAGAATAATAGAATAGAATAGATTAATTAGTAGCAAAATTGCGCTGAAAATGTTTAGAAATTTTAAAATGCAAATTAAATTTCACGAAAAAAAATATCGTCGAATGTCAATTCAAGCAGTCACCCATCCAAGTACTAACCGCGTCCAACGTTGCTTAACTTCCGTGATCTGATGAGAACTTGTTCCCTCGCCTTGGTGTTTCCGCTGTCTTGTCTTGATTAATAACTTTGTCGTATAAGTATTGTATCGCACCTAACCTCACTTTTAGTGATACTTATACGACAAAGTTATTAATCAAGACAAGACAGCGGAAACACCAAGGCGAAGGAACAAGTTCTCATCAGATCACAGAAGTTAAGCAACGTTGGACGCGGTTAGTACTTGGATGGGTGACTGCTTGAATTGACATTCGACGATATTTTTTTTCGTGAAATTTAATTTGCATTTTAAAATTTCTAAAAATTTTCAGCGCAATTTTGCTACTAATTAATCTATTCTATTCTATTATTCTATTTTTAATAGAATTATAATTATACGTATAATTATACGTATTATTATACGTATTATTATACGTATTATTATACGTATAATTAATTATACGTATTATTATACGTATAATTATACGTATAATTCTTGTTTCAAATTCGTATGTCTTATTATACGTATAATTGTACGTATAATAATACGTATAATTATACGTATAATAATACGTATAATTATACGTACAATTATACGTATAATTATACGTACAATTATACGTATAATTATACGTATTATTATACGTATAATTATACGTGTTTTTTTCAATAGGGTTTATTGGACCTGAAATATCTGAATGTATCAACTGACCATTTCGTTCGGTTTTATTTGTCGATTTATAAAACGGTTTTCTAGTACTTTTACCTTCTACACAATTTTTACAAATTTCTTTGCTATAAGGTAATCCTAATAAATTTAAACCATTTTGATTAAGATGCCCTAACCTTCTATGCCAAATGTTATCTTTATTATTGTTACAAGCCGAGAAATTACAATGTTTGTTTTTAGTGTTTTTTGAGTTCTCGACTTTTAAATCGACATTTAAATAAAAAAGACCATTTTGTGAAGTACAATAAAACATAGAATTATTTTTTAACAGTTTAGCTGTTTTGTTCCCTAGTTTATTATTGTCGAATACTACTTTGAAATCTTTCTTTAATAGTTGTGATACTGAATTTAAATTATGAGACATACCCTCAACAATCAATGCTTCAATTTTGATTTCTTTATTTTGACAAATTCCTTTTAAAGTCCTTTTCTTTTTAGCAATTAAAACTTCATTACTTTTCGCTGTTCCTATTTTTACAGGTGTTTCTAATTATGAGATATTAAACATAAAATTTTCTAACTCACCTATAACCATATGTTGTGTGCACCCGGAATCTAATATAAATTTATTTACATTTTTTGGCGATGTCTCACTGTTTAACGCTATGAATGCAATTTCGTCTGCTTCGTTTGCCTGCGAGTTGTAGCCGTGATTTCGACCTCTGCTTTGAAATCTTGCTCTTCCACTTCGACGTCCTCTGTAGTTTCCTTTGGAATTTTGATCGTAATTTGATCTGCATTCGGCAATTTTATGACCAGCTTTACCACATTTAAAGCAAGTATACGTGTCCGTTTTAAATGTCACTTCCGGATGAACATGTGTGTTATTTACAGGCTTCGATTTGATTTTCATTTCCTCGTCCAATAATCTTGATTTTACAAAGTCCATTGTGATCTCGGTGTTTAAAGTT